CTATTTGTTATGCTCCACAAATAAGTGAAACCATATGATAATTGACTTTCTCTGCTTGACTTATTTCACTCAGCATAATCTCGTCCAGTCCCGTTCATGTTGCTACAAAATATCTTGATCCAGAAAATGTAGACTTATGTTCAACCTGAACACAGGTTGAAACAACCTGAACACAGCAGTGAAAACACCTAAAGCTGACCTGTCAAGCTCTTATAATCTCCATCTCATTGCAACTTCACACAGTGTTCTAAATAGGAATCAGGTGTGTCTGGTACTCTGTCCATACTCAATCCTATGTTTCTCTAGTATAGAACCCAGGCTTGGACTCCATAAGATGCTGTTTGATATATCTCCAAATGCAACCCTCACCCCATTGATTAGGGTTGACTAGGGCAGCATCTTCCCATGGAGGACATACTAATGATAGTGGGGAGAGGTAACCAGCTAGAATCAGAAATTAAAGGGTCATCTGTGGCCAAATCGTCTAGTCCAAACTCAGAAGTTCTTGCTCCGCAGTCATAAAAATGCCTCATGTGATTCATAGTAAAACTGTACCATGACCTTCTCAACTCAGAAAGCCCAGGAAACAGAGAACCCTGGAGTTACAATGCCAGCCCTAAACCTAACATACCTCTGGACTAGTGGTAGAAAGAAATCCTTTGGGGGAGAGGAGCAGAGACTGACCCTGATGTTCCACACATTAGAAATTAGCAAAGGACATAAACAGACTAGAAATTAGTTTATGTTAAACACAAAAGTAAATACAATATCACCACTCCAATGTGCAAAGTATTGGAGCAACTAATGAGGACAACGTCAGCTTCCATGGCATGTCAAGGTGAATGAAGTTTTGCCATGGAAAAAAAAGACTGTTCCCATGGCTGAATCATCCAAGAACAATCCCGGGACTCAGGGCTAGAAAGCCTTGTGGAATATCAGAGGCAATCTGGACGGGATATAAAATGGGTTTTATCTATGCCTCACTTAAAATAAACTTGCTTCCCCTTAGTGCCAGACAGAGAAATGTTTGCTTTTGCTAGTTAGGTTTATGAATTCCATTTGGGATTTTCTCACCCACAAGGTACACTCTGATAAGCTGTACCTAAGAATTAAAGCTTTATTTATGAAAAGGCAAGACCTCATCCTTATCCGATATCATAGGACATATATGTATTTCTAATCAGTTAGGATACATAGCCTCTCCTTACTCAAGTTATGGCACATAACGAGAGTTTACCCAAGCAGCCTGAAGACTGAAATCACCAGATATCTAATACACGACTTTTTTTCTAGTTTAAAATGTTCTTCTGTGGAAAAGCAAAAGGCTCTCAAGATGTCACAACTTGAGTTTGAACCCCAGATCTCCCACCACTGTGGGCAAATATTGAATTTTTCTGAATTTCACTTTCCCCATAAAAACAAGGTTGCAAAGGTATTTTTTTAAAACATCACAAGCACAATGTGATGCCAATAACTGTTCATGGTTTCTGCCAGTGGAAGAGTGGTGATATTAAACTTCCTCTCCAGCCTTCATTCATCCTCTTCCAGGATGCCAGTGCCCTTCAAGTAGCCTGGGCCACCCACACGGCTTCCATAGGCACTCGGGAGGCACTTCCTCTGTTGTAGAATTTCTTCTCTGCTTTCTATCAAGAATCCAAAAGCCTTCAAAGTTCCTCTTAACTTGGGGATTTAACTTGGAAAAAGGATCTGATAAACATCTTTATGCAAAGCTATTAATGAGTTCTCATAGGTAACGTGTTATTCCTCTCTAGAGTGTTGGCATTGGTAATGTTTTATCCCAAGGGGATCCACCTTGCTTTTGGGATCTGAGAGGTGAATATGGCAAATGAACAAGATCTGGCTTCTGAAGAGGACCGACCTGATGCCCCTTAAGCCAAACTGCCCCGTAAAGTGAACTCTGGCAGAGCAAAGAGGTCTAACAGTGATGGTCATGTCAAAAACTGTCAGGTCATTCATCAACTACCTTTGGCTCACAGAGCCATTTCTTTCTTTTTTTTTTTTTTTTTCTTTTCAGCGTAACAGTATTCATTGTTTTTGCACCACACCCAGTGCTTCATGCAATCCATGCCCTCTCCAATACCCACCACCTGGTCCCCCCAACCTCCCACACCCCGTCCTTCAAAACCCTCAGATTGTTTTTCAGAGTCCATAGTCTCTCATGGTTCACCTCCTCTCCAATTTCCCTCAAGTCCCTTCTCCTCTCCATCTCCCCTTGTCCTCCATGCTATTTGTTATGCTCCACAAATAAGTGAAACCATATGATAATTGACTCTCTCTGCTTGACTTATTTCACTCAGCATAATCTCTTCCAGTCCTGTCCATGTGGATACAAAAGTTGGGTATTCATCCTTTCTGATGGAGGCATAATACTCCATAGTGTATATGGACCACATCTTCCTTATCCATTTCTGATCTGACTCTCTTCTCTCACTTCCTATTCCAAGTTTCAGGTGAATCAGACACCAGCAATCTCAAACCACTGACTTACTCTGAGGGTCATGGTCAGCACAACCCTAAAGGGAGGGATGTGGTGATAACAGCTTACACATTACACATAACAAAATGCTTTTGCTTATTGTCCTACATCTGAACCTCAAATGAACCCACAAAGGTAGGAAGAAATTGTGACTTCTATTTTACTCATGTGATACAAATCTCAGCAAAGTAGAATGAATTGCTTGGAGCATTAATCAAGAACCACTTTGCAGATAACAGAAACCCAAATAATTTTTGCTTAAGAAAAAAATGGGGATTTACTATTTCATGTTATAAACTAGAAGGTCCAGGGCTAGATTAAATGGTTTCAGGATTAAGCAGAATAAAGGGCTCAGATTGTGCTTTTAGGCACTACTCTTTTTTTTATCACTCAGCCCTGGTTTTCCTCACTGTCTCCTATGGCATGGTTTCTTCAAAGTGGCTGAGGAGGATGGTCACAGCCCAGTGATTACTTACATGGTCCCAGCCGAATACCCCAGCAGGAGGAAAAGACATGCTTCTCTCTCTGAATGTCTGTATGTCAGGGAAGGATGCTGGCTAGTGGGGTGCCCACTAATCACTGTTAGCAAAAGGATGGCACTCTAGGATTACCCCAGCCCAGGCCATGAGTCCACCCCTGTGGCCAGGCTTGTGGAACCTCTGGCTAACTGTCCTGACATGATCACAAAGTATGGGAGGAATCCACCAAAGGGTGTGCAGGACAACACAAAACAAAGAGCACTGCTATGTTTGGATGACCAGATGTCCCAGACTAACACTGCTCCTGGAGCTTGCTTTCCCTGGGACTCGCCTTCATTCTACACTCAAGAACTGTTTTATACACACATGCTATAAATACAGCAGCCCCAGTAGTGTTCCCCAAATCTAACTGGCGCACTGATATTTATTGTGTGACTGCTATGTGACAGACCCTTATCTAAGAGGTGGGGACGCAGCAGGGAACAAGACAGACAATGTCCCAGACCTTGGGCAGCTCAGTTTTGGACTCTGAATGATCCCCCAAGATTAGTGATCAAGTATATCTCTTGTAAAGCTTATAGAGGCCAATATAGAGATTGATTGCCTAATCAATCTCTCATTCCCTCTCTCTCCTCCCCCCAGGCTCTCTCTGTGACACCTAAGCAACCTAACAAGGAGTGGAACTGCCAGAAGACGATGGACACAATACTTCAGGAGATTGAGCAGGGGAAATTCCACAATCCCATGTCCATTGCCCAAATCCTCCCTTCCCTGAAAGGCAAGACATACCTGGATGTGCCCCATGTGTCCTGCAGCCCTGGTAAGAACTCTTAACATCTGCCTTTCCTTATGTCATAAAGTAGTGGTTCCTTATGTGGATCAATTTTAAGTATTATGTGGATCAATTTTAATAAACACAGGTTTATTATGTAGGCAGAGCCACATCTGATATCCAATCCCCAAGTGTTGTGTGCTAACACACAGCCATGGCAGCCTGTCCTCAGAATTCAGCCCCCATGTCTACTTCACTCAGGACACATTAAGTGAGCACCTACTATATACATAGCATTTTGTGAGACGCTGGTGAAAAGGGGAGGTCCATGGTCTTAACAATCAGATGATATATCACTTCCTTCATTCGTTTGACAAATGCACCAAACCTTATGTACTATCTTATGATACCTGCTCTTTACAAGGTCAGGATACAGATATGTAGACAATAACTACAACATTTGGAAGAATGAAATAAGTATTAAGTAGAAATAGAAGCCACATGTAGTGCATAGCAAAGAAAGTGTGACCAATCATTGAGCTGGTCTGAGACACGTATGAGAAAAAGAGTTGGCTTTTAAGCCCAGACTTGGGGATCTCAATACAAGGCCTTGGTGCTCCTGGCACACCGAAGGAATGGGATGGAAACCTGGCATATTACCCTTTTATTTTAAATATCTCTATTTTAGCCAATTAAAAATATCATACAGGGCTACTTAAAAATTCAAACTTTGTAGAAATATTCACAAAGAAAGTGGGAGTCCTGCATAAAATTTTATCCCTCCAGCAATAATGAGTGTTGGCAAAGATACCTCCAACTCCTCCTTCTAGACAAATACTAGTATAAAGTGCTCATGTCTTATGTTGCACGGATTTGCTGAGATAAGCAGAGATTACTAAATTCCCTGCCTATCTCAGTACAGAGTCTTTAGAGACTGTAATCAAGGAACCCAATCCTAATCACACCAAACACAGCTACATTCACCAAACTCCTCAGGCTGCTTCCCAGTGATTTCCCAACCTGAACAAGGTGGCCATAGAGTCTTTCCAAGGACTCTACACTATAGTTGCCCAGGTGTTTTGTTAAATGATCTGAAACTTACTACCTTTGCTTCCAGATTCACAGTGTTACCACAAATCCACAGAACTCAACCATGTAAAACACATGACTTGGGGCTAACCATCCTCCCTTCCGGTTATAAATTCTTTTTTAAAAAAAGATTTTATTTATTTGACACAGAGAGAGAGAGATCACAAGGAGGCAGAGAGGCAGGCAGAGAGGGCGGTGGTGGGGGGGGGAGAAGCAGGTTCCCCGCTAAGCAGAGTGCCCAATGCATGGCTCCATCCCAGGACCCTGGGATCATGACCTGAGCCGAAGGCAGAGGCTTTAACCCACTGAGCCACCCGGGCACCCCAGTTATAAATTCTTTAAACAAAACTAATGTTCACTATAAAATGAGCCATCTCCACATCATTCAGCATCAGAGAAATACAAATCAAAACCACAGTGAGATATCACCTCACACCAGTCAGAATGGCTAAAATTAACAAGTCAGGAAATGACAGATGCTGGTGAGGATGCAGAGAAAGGGGAATCCTCCTACACTGTTGGTGGGAATGCAAGCTGGTGCAACCAGTCTGGAAAACAGCACGGAGGTTCCTCAAGAAGTTGAAAATAGAGCTACCCTACAACCCAGCAATTGCACTACTGGGTATTTAACCCAAAGATACAAATGCAGTAATCCTGAAGGGGCAAGTGCACCTGAATGTTTATAGCAGCGATGTCCACAATAGCCAAACTATGGAAAGAACCTTAATGTCCATCAACAGATGAATGGATAAAGAAGAAGTGGTATATATACATACAATGGAATACTATGCAGCCATCAAAAGGAATGAAATCTTGCCATTTGCGACGATGTGGATGGAACTAGAGGGTATCATGCTTAGCGAAATAAGTCAATCAGGAAAAGACAACTATCATATGATCTCCCTGATAAGAGGAAGTGGAGATGCAATGTGGTGGGTTTGGGGGGTAGGAAAATAATAAAATAACAAGATGGGATCAGGAGGCAGACAAACCATAAGAGGCTCTTAATGTCACAAAACAAACTAAGGGGGACTGGGGGGAGGGGCGTAGGGAGAGGGTGGTGGGATTATGGCCATTGGGGAGGGTATGTGCTATGGTGAGTGCTGTGAATGAAGTGGGTAAACCTGGCAATTCACAGACCTGTACCCCTGGGGCTAATAATACATTATATGTTTATAAAAAAAATTTAAAAGATACTTTAAAAAAAAGAAAAGAAATAGTTAAAATGAGCCATCAGCTCTTCAGCTATGAGCAATTCTCTAGATTAGAAATGAGAGCTTCATAGATCACATGAGTTCCTCAGAACCACCCACAAAGGACACAAAATCTTTGCCATTTCTTGAAATGTTTCTTTAGGATAAGTTGCCAATAACAGAGATTTTTGCACCTATAATACAAACCCTGTAATCATTAACAAATGTGACCTCTTTGCTCTTCACAGATCACGAAGTGAAACCAACTCTCCCCACTCAACCCAGCCCTGTTCCCACCACAGCATCCAACATCACCATCATATACACCATAAATAACCAGCTGAGGGGGGTGGGTCTGCTCTTCAATGAGACCATGGACGTTAGTGTGAAAGGTGGATCGGTACTACTTGTTGTCCTAGAGGAAGCACAACGCAGAAATGCCATGTTCAAGTGAGTGCTGTAAGCAATGTTCACCATTCTCCCCAGACCCCACCTGAATTCCCATTCTCTCCTTCCTTCCTTCATTTTCTTACTTTTTTTTTCCCTTCTGATAATTTAACATCATTTCATCACCCCTTGAGAAGCATGCAATCTAGTAACTATCAAAGCTGGCTCAGGAAAATTCAATCGCCCAAGTCAACATACGATGGAGTTTTACAAACAGGAATTCAAAGGGGGGAGAGTCTACTGTGGGTTAGAACAGTCCAGGAAGGCTTGTGGCTTTGGAGCCCATTCGAAAAATAAGTACTGTTAGGAAGATGGGGAAAGATGGTATTCTAGAAAGAGGGAATGGCTAGGAGAAAGCATTTGAGACAGGAATAAGCAAGGACTTCAGGGTCAGTGAGTAGGCCAGCTTGACTAGAGAAGAGAATAGGGGACTGAATCAAGTGAGTAACCTGTAAGGACAGGCTGGGTGATACAAAGTCTGAAAAACCAGGTTAAGGAGATCAAACTTCCCATTAGAGAAAGCACTGCAAGTTTTTAAGTAAGAAAAGTCACGTTGTAAAACGTTAATTGGTTCGAGAATGGGAGACAAGGAGGAGATCTGGGGCTAGCCTGAGGTAACAAATCTGTGAGGTGATGAAGACCTCTTCTAGGATCAACAGACTCACACCAAGGAAGACGCCACTTGGCTCTGTGAGTACTGGGGGAGGGGAAGCGACAAGAGAGAGAAGCTTCCAAACTTTTGATAGGAGTGTCAGGAGGAAAGAATGTCTTTCAGAGAAAAAGACTTAGTTCCTTTAGACATGTCTTATTGCGGGTGTTCAAAACAGCAACATTAGGGAGCTTTTGGAGGTTTAGATGAAGGCCTAGAAAAAGAGGTCAGGACAGGCGAAAGAGGTCAGATGGTCATCTGATAGAGGGGATGACTGAAGTTGAGGAACTGTGTAGAGGTAGCAGAGACAAGTTCCCAACAAGCCACGAGTCCAGAGTGCCGGCTGGCTCAGTCAGCAGAGCAGATGACTCTTGATCTCAGGATCGTGACTTCAAGCCCTATGTTGGGCGTAAGTCCACATGAAAAACAACAAACCAACCAACCATGATCTATATGCCCATTTTACAGATAGCACCACATAGTCCCAAAGAGGCTAAGTAACATTCCTAAGATCCCATGACATGTAACTAGTTAAGTTGACTGTGAAGCTCATGTTCCTTCCACTGTCAGGAGAGGACAAAATACAGAAATAAATCCTGAGAAATAAAATTAAACTTGAGATGTCTTCATAGTTTGCAAGAAGAGGAAGCAGTAGAGAAATATGGAGAAAACTAAGTTCACAGAAAGAGCAGAGGGCAAATGCCAGGAAAGGAAAAGAGGAGAGACCTTCAAAGGACAATGATGTGATCCAAATTCTGCAGAGAGATGCCAGAGAGAAAGCCCAAGGAAGTGACACCTGAGTGGGATGTGGAACCTGTTCCACAGGATTAGGTTCCATACATTGTGCTTGCTGTCCACAGCCCAGCTCCGTAATCCCCTGACTCCCACAGAAAGGTCAGGACAAAAGTTGCGTTTCAAGAATACTTAGTTTTTAAATACCCTCGGAATATACCTTACTACTTCTCTGAGCTTAACTATAATTTTGCCTGATTTTTCTTTTTCTGACCGCGCACGTCATGAATACATACAGTAGACCGTTGGGGGGTGATGCATAATGAGCAAAACCTCTAAAACTAGTAATACACTATCTGTTAATTAATTGAATTCAAATAAATTTTTTAAAAATGGAACAAGACAAAGCATGTACAGTGTGTGCATAATGTAATCACTGTTGACATTTCTTTATGATTTGGTAGGTGTTTTCCTCTGTGCATGTTATAGATAGCTGTGACCCCTCACATGGGTGGGATAGTTATTTCATGTAAAATGTGTGTCCCACATTTTCACCTAACAATTACTGCGTGAGCATCTTTAATGTCACTTAAAAGTGTGGAAAAATACAATTTTGTCAATGCCAAAAAAAAAAAAATTCAGTCTTGAATATTCATCTCATCATTCGTGTAAGTATTCACCCATTGTTGGGCGTTTACATTTTTTAAAATTTGCTTATTAATAGTTTTTTTAAAAAAACCCCATTCATTTAAATATCATTTAATACAAAGTGAAGTAATTTCATATCCATTAGTCATTAGCAATTTCTCTTTTAAGCATTTTTTAAAATAAACATATTTTTAATTTGCATTAATTTTATTTCTACCTAAAGGGAGACATTTTTTTAACTATGTTCTGTTAGCCACTGTACAGTACATCATTAGCTTTTGATTAGTTTTCAGTGATTCATTAGTTATGTATAACAGTGCTCATCACAACACGTGCCCTCCTTAACACCCAATCACCTGGTTACCCTACCCCCAACTCCCCTCCCCTCTGTAACTCTGTTTCCCAGAAAAGCAACTGATTCCTGTGCATTAATTTTGTATCCTGCTGCACTGGTGAATTGCTCTATGAATTCTAGTAGTTTGGGGTTACTTTATGTGGATGACATGATACTTCAAGGCTTTTATATGATCTCTAAAGTATTTAGAATGTCTCTGTCCCTTCACCTTAATCCCTTATTGCCTGACATAAATGAGGTTAATCACATATCTTTTATTCTTACAGATTTGAAACCACAATGACATCCTGGGGCCCTGTCGTCTCTTCTATCAATGATATCACTGAAAGTGTTCATGAGCGGACATACTGGCAATTCCTTAGTGGCAAGATACCTCTGAGTGAAGGTGAGAAAAGGAAAGGAATCTGGGACTTTCTTCTATAGTCTGCAGGCTGCTTTCTTTCATTTACTTATTTAATTCATTCATTCATTTAATCAAAAACTGTGAGACTGTATGTCTCACATGTGAGATATGTGAGATACTTGTGTATACAGTGATAAACTATACATGTACATGTACACATGTATTATGAATATATATATTCATATATATGAATTGATTCGATTGAATAACAGATAAATGATGAGTAGGTAGATGGATGATAGAAGAGGTGGCTGGCTTTCTAAAATAGCTTTTTCGAAAATCAAGAATCCTGACTCCATCCTGGGCCAATGGGGACATATCCAGTGAGCAAGAAAAGTGGATTGACCTACTTAAAGCAATAGGAGCTGAAAAAGGAAAACCCAGATAACATGAGAGACAAAAAAAAAAAAAAAAACGTAGAAAAAGTAGTATGTGATCCAAGAAGATGGCCACTTTAGGATTTAAAAATTAAATATCATCATGTAATATAAAACCACAGTGACTTCATAGCCTGTGGGAAACAAATATGAGGAAGGGGAAACCTAGCTCTTCGTGCAGTGATGTTATCGTATGCCACATGTCAACTCTGTAGATATCGGTGATTCTCTTTTTTACAGAGAAAGAAACTAAGTCTCGGAGGCGTTAAAGGGACTTGACAAGTCCTGCATCTAGGGTGGGACTGAGCGATCATCGAGCCCATGCTTCCAAACTGTATCATGACCGTCCTTCCCCCACAGCTTCACTCAGCATTCATTTTTCTTCTTGCTCTAATGTTTTTTAAAAATTTCCAAATAGAAGAAGGTTTATGCACATTTTTGTGGGGAAGAGCCAAGAATAAAATTCAGACTTCAGCAAAACCCTAACATTCTTTAAAATTTTGCACAAATACTAAAAATAACTCTAAGTTAAAGAGCCATGCGTGCTATTTTGTCTAAGGAAGATGTTCGCTAGTTAAAGGATGTTAATCACCACCATGCAGAGAGATGTGAGGCCATGTAGGGTCACAGCAGAGCTGAGGCTGCGGCTTTGTAAGATGCTTCATTATCCAAGATTACGATGGGAGAGATGTTTTCTTAGAGTCTGTCAGGTACATAACAAAATCTGGCCAGTCAGAATTTGTTGAATTGCAGCAAAACACATAATAAAGACATCAAGGTTACATAAGGGTTGGTTAGAAGCCCCTTCTCCTACTTACTAGCTGCTTTAGGCAAGGAGTGAATCTTCTCAGAACCAGTTTCCAGAGCTATGAAATGAACACAGTAATAGCCATTTCTTGGGTTAGTATGAAAATTAGAAATAACATGTTTAAAATGAGTAAGTGCAATGTCTCCTGCATAGCACGCACTCACAAATGCTCAGTATAAGTATTATTAGTTCTCCTATCACCTTCATCTCAAGTATTGCCCAGGAACCTAAATCAGTGTTAGTCTCATGTCTGCCAATTACCTTTCTTCTCTCGGGAAGGAAGGGGAAACAGGCCTCTGAGATCCAAAAAGTTCTTAGAAAGATCTTATTCTTTCTGATGCCCGGTGACTTGAAAGCTAATCATCAATACTGCCATCATCTAACTTCTCTGCCCTGAAACACAAGAATTCTCAACCCACTGCCCTTCCCTACTTTTGGCAAAACCTTCAAAAGTGAACATGAGTTCCTACCTCGAATGTTCTAAACTTGGCTTAACTAAGTCATTTTCTTGCACACTTACTATGTGTCAGGTACTATATTAGGCATCTGGCAGTCATTATTCCTAATCCTGAAATGTTTCTGTGGGGTAAATATTATTAGTGCAGTTTTAGACATGAGGCAAAGGAGGATCTCACAATTTAAGGCGCTTGTCCAAAGACATGCTCCATGTGGCAACTCTCAGCCTGGAAACAAAGACTCCCTAAATCTCAATTCCATGCTCTTCCATAGTCATCAAGCTGCCCATTGCACTCTGGGATGATTTTCCTCCTCTAGCAAGGGGGCTGGTCATTTGGGAGGTGGGGGTGGTTACATGCACCATGGTCTCCTCATGTTCTTCTCTGCTTGTTTCCAGGAGTTGCTGACTACAAACCCTCCGACCGTGAGCACATCACGGCCAATTTCACACAGTACTAAGGACAAGGTGGGTTCAGGTTCTCTCAAACATCTCCAAAAGATGGTGGAATTTTTGTTCAATTTATTCCAAGTCTATGCAAAAATACCCTGGATATCTACAATGCTGCTGTATTCCTGCTAAAAACACAGAAACCACTATGTAGAATAAATGATTCAAACTTCCCTGGAGTCTTAACATCTGTGACCCATGATAAAAGTCCAGCTTCTCAAGGCAATGACTGCCAGTCATCATTTAAACCTAGGATGAGGGGAGGAGAGAGAGCCCAGGTGATGTCTTTGGAGTTCATTCTGATCTTCGTGATTAATTAACAAATGGATTCCTTTATTTCTACAAATGAAGTGATATATATTAAAAACTCCTATTTTTAAAAAACCTATTTTTGTTTCTTATACCAAGTACTATTTTTCAAATCACTTAGTGAAATGACCAAAATTATTTCATGAGTCTCCCAGATGGTTTAGAACTAGGTAAATCATGTTCATACTCTCCCCCTGCATTTCTAGTGTTCATTCTGGGTAAAATTAGTTTAAAATGTATATTTTTATATAATTTGTAGATAAATACACACATTTAATATATAAGTATAACCTACAGTATGTAATATAAAATTTGATATCTATTTTATATTTGATATCTATTTTATATATTAAATATAAATATATATTTTAAATCCCACACCACACATGTAACATATGTATTTTACACAGTAAATAGAAATACAGATCTATAACCACACCCTATACTTACATTTGAAAGAAAAATTAAGCTTTCAAAGACAGTCATAACTCTAATCTCTGCTGGTAGGAGTCAACACTGGTACCAACTTTCTAGTGAAGGATATGAAAATTGTATCAAAAGACCTAAAACAGACTCAACTACAACCTCCAAAATCCCAATTCTGAAAAGTATACAAAGGAGAGAATCACAATAGGGCACAGATATACAAGAATCAAAATGTGTGCTGAGGCAATTACAGAGCAAACCCTAGACATGCAGTCTCAGTATACTTCCTGAACTGACCCCAAGGCAGAGATTCACCTGCCCCATCGCAGGTCTCCGCCCCCAGCTGCTCAGAGCAAGAGCCTGCCCTCTGGCAACAGGGGCTCCTGGGAGAAGGAGGTGTGAGCCACCAGCCCAAACATACCATTAGGTACATCACTGGACCCCAGGAAAAGCCCAGCGCTGGTGCTGTGGTGGAAGGCACCCTCCAGGAGTGTGAATAAGTGATCTCTCATAACATGCGCTGATATTCATAATATAGAAAACATGGAAACAGTCTACATGCCCAAAAACAGGGCAAGGGAGAGATAAACCCTGGTGGATCCATATGCTGGGATACTTAAAAGTCACTGAAATTCTTAAGTCCACATATGAATGAGGACATACAGTATCTATCTTTCTCTGACTGACTTCACTTAGCATTATACCCTCTAGAGTACCCATGTTGTTGCACATGGCAAGATTTCATTCTTTTTTTATGGCTGAGTAATAGTCCATTGCATAGCTACACCGCATCTTCTTTATCCATCATCTATGAATGAACAGCTGGGCTGCTTCCATAATTTGGCTATTGTAAATAATGCTGCTATAAACATAGGGGTGCATGTATTTGTTTGAATTAGCGTTTTCATTTTCTTTGGGCAAATACCCAGTAAAGGAATTACCGGCTTATATGTGGAATTTAAGAAAAAAAAAAAAAAAAAGAAACAAACAAACAAAACAAATGAACAAAGGAAAAAGAGACCAAAAAACAGACTCTTAACTAGAAGGAACAAACTGATGTTGCCAGAGGAGACCTGGGGTGTGGGGATGGGTGAAATAGATGGAGAAGGTTGAAAATACACTTATGGAGGGGCGCCTGGGTAGCTCAGTCTGTTATGTGTCTGCCTTCAGCTCAAGTCATGATCCCAGGGTCCTGAGATCGAGTTCCACATCAGGTTTCATTGTTCAGAAGGGAGCCTGCTTCTCCCTCTGTCTGCCACTCCTCCTGCTTGTGCTCAGTCTCTCTCTCTTTCGCTCTGACAAATAAATAATTTTTTTTTAATGGACACTGGGACACCTGGGTGGCTCAGTTGGTTGAGCATCTGCCTTCAGCTCAGGTCATGATCCCAGAGTCCTGGGATCGAGTCCCACATCGGGCTCCTTGCTCAACAGGGAGCCTGCTTCTTGCTCTGCCTGTTCTGCCTGCAGCTCTCTATGCTCCTGCTCTCTCTGACAAATAAATAAATAATCTTAAAAAAATTTAAAAAATTTTTTTAAAAAGGTACACTTATGGAGATCAGCATTGAGTAATGTATGAAGTGTTCAATCCCTACTTGTATACCAGATACTAATATAACAGTGTATGTTAATTATACTTTTTTAAAAAGTTAATTAATTTTTAAAAAGAAGTATAAAAATTAATTTTATGGTATAAAAATTAATTTTAAAGATTTTTATTTTTTATGGGGGGGAGGGGCAGAAGCCCAAGCAGACTCCACACTGAGTGTGCAGCCAGATCAGGACTTGATCCCATGACCCTGAGATCATGACCTGAACTGAAATCAAGAGCCAGATGCTCAACCCAACTGAGCTACCCTGGCAGCTCTTTTAAATTTATTTTCTTAACTGTCAGTAAAATTTGTGTTGGAGATAAATACTTGCTGACATAGAAAGACATTCATGATCACTCTGATGCCATCCATGCCAAAGTATTAGAGTGGTTAACTGTGATGGAATTACTGATTTGTTTGTTTGCTTCTCTAGTGTCTACATTCTCTCCATTCGATACAATAATTGAACAACTAGAAAATGGGAAAAATTACCTTTAACAAAGATTACTTTTTTATTTATCAATAAATTGGGCAATGAAAGGAAAGGGTGTGTGTGAGAGAGAGGGAACCACTGTCCCCCAACTTTTGCAATGAACTGGGTGTGTTTATTTGTATTGGCAAGGATGGGGGACAGGTGAGCAGGCTGACAATGGCTCTATGACAAGTTACAATTCCACTTTGAGGAAGTGCTGTAATAAAATGTAGTCTGTATGTGTTCATTGCTGCATAACTGTCCAAGCATGGGTTTGGCAATGCTTTGAGAGACTATCATAAGTGTTTTTGTGACCTCTACTGGCCATGGATGGTAAAGCCTAAACTTCCTTCAGGGAAGTGGTCAATTTTCTGCGTTACTGTTTTTGTGAAGATGCAGGGGAGAGGTGGGAAGATTGCTACCAAATCCAACTGTACTTTCCTTTAACTAGATATACGAATGACATATGCCAAGTCTGCGATTGAAGATCACACCCTGATGAGGAAATGGAACTACAGAGAGCCTCCTCTAGCCCCTTCCAACTAAGATAAGTCTTTGAAATGACAAAGAATCTTGCTCAGAAGCACAAACGCCTTTGAGATTTCTAAGAAGAAGAAGAGGAATAACAACAACAACAACGAGAATCATGGCCAAGAAAATAAAAATAGAAAGGGAGAGAGAACAAAGCAAAACAGCCATGATGTTTTTTGGACAATAAAGTGAATTTGACCAAACATATAAAAATATGTAATAAAGTCATGATAATTAAAACAGTGTAGCACTGGTTTCAGATCAGGGAGAGCATGGGAATGGAATAAAATGTTAAAAAATATATTACGTGAGAATTTAGCATATTATAAAATCACATATTTTTTAAAGATTTTATTTATTTAGAGAGAGAGTGTGAGCATGCATTAGCATGGGAGGGGCAGAAGGAGAGAGAGAGAATCATAAGCAGGCTCCATATTCAGCATGGAGCCCAATGCAGGGATCCACTTCATGGACCTGAAATCATGACCTGAGCTGGAATCAAACATCCAACACTTAACTGACTGAGCCACCTAGGGACCCCATAAAATCACATATGAAATGAGAATTTTCAACTTGCCAAAGGACATTCCTACTTCTGGCCTTATAAGCATATTAGCAAAGTCAAAAACTCTTAAGAAAATAACTGAAAGATTTCACTGCATGAAAATTTAAAACTTAAAGGATATAATAAAATAAATAATATAATAAAATTAGAGGATATAATAACACTGTAAAAAACTGAATCATATACAAACAAGAGTTAATATGATTAATATACAATAAGCTTTTAGAATTGATAAAAAAGAAACAGTACAATTAAATCATAGAGAAAGTACACAAACGAATCACATATGAAAAAATGGACAAACATATGAAAAAAAAAAGTAGGAGAAAAAGTTCAACATCACTAGTCATTGAAAAATTGCAAAATAATGTATATCCAGTTTGTAAATTATATGAAGTAGGACTCAGAAAATGGTATTAGAAATCAACCTTAGGAGTGCCTGGAGGGCTCAGTTGGTGGAGTATGTGGCTCTTGATCTCATGGTTGTGAGTTCGAGTCCAGACTGGAGGTAGAGATTACATAAAAATAAAATCTTTTGAGAAAAAGAAAAAAAAAAAAACTTTAGGTTACCCTGCTCCTGCTTACCCAAACTCCAAACCAACTTTGTAAGGCTGGGGGGTTTTCTATATTTTCCCAGTTCTCTGACTTAAGAAGAAAAAAAGAAAGAAAAAAGATAATTCTGATTTCAGTAACTAAAATGCCCAATACTGTGTAATAGTCACAACTCTGAACTCCGTCTAAAGGTAAAGCTGCCTCCCTCTGCTAGTTCAGGTCTCCTCCAGATAGGGTGACTGCAACGGCAACAAAATGGGAATGAGGTCGGGTGGGGGGCTCTCTATTTCCTCACTTTGCACTTTTACCGGTCATGTAGGATCTCTCCCGCCCCTCGTCTCTCACCTCTGTTGACCCCTCTGGGAAGACTGGCATAGCACCTGATATGGGTTGAAGTACGTCCACCTCCCCCCGACCAACCAATATGTGTTGGAGCCCCAATCACCCCCTTCACCCCCCATTCCCCACTTCCGCCCCCATCCACTGTGCCTCAGAATGTGACATTGTTAGGAGAAGGGGTCTTTACAGAGGTAATCAAGTTAAAATGAGGTCAATAGGGTGAGCCCTAATCCAATAGGACTACTG